ATAGATTTACTTAAAACCTTTAGGAAATCTTTGGCGATTTATTCGAAGTTAGTTTGTAAGGACAATGCTTCGGTTAGCTAAGACTTTGCCACACTTGATCTGTCTTGCCAAACCAGCTTGGTTTTTAAGGGCTTCTTCCTCCATGTCTTCTCAGTTAACCTCTCCCAGAGATGCTCCCTGGCACTCAGAGTTTGCATTTGACACTTTTCTTTTGCCTCTTCGGTCTTGGCATTGCCACAAAACAACTTTGTGAGCATTTGGATTTGGGGGCTGAAGGCAAGATTAAAGTGCCAAAGAGAAGAGAAGACAAAATGCTAGAAGTAAGACTGGCTCTTACTCTTGTTGAATTTCAGGGCTATTTTGTGAACAGCCCTACTGATTGTTGAAGAAGTTTAAAATATTGCAACATGTTTCTGATGGGTAACAAGGGGAGAGGGAAAGTTTCGAACAATGTCTTCTTAGTCCCTTAATTACCCTATCTATGTAAATATTCACAAGAGCAAATATACCCTAAGCTACGGATGTGTTTTTAATTATTTCGTGCTCTTGCATGTTGAGTCATTTGTTGTTATGTGACTACCCATCCTCAATTAAAGTTTCAGCTTCTTAAAAAGTGTCCTTGCAGTTTTCCTTGTACTTGAGTAGTTGGTATCTATGAAACTGCTGATTTAGTAACTGAATCTTATCATTTGATTGGATTATAGCATAATTCTATAGTTAGAATGCAGGGAAGGCCATGTTCCTTTACAAATGAATTAAATTAGAGGAGAACAACATACAAAGTAAAGATGGATTGCCATTTGAAATGATTGTAAGATTAAAAGGTTGAGTCTTGGGAAAACTAAGATACCTTATTGAACAGAGCAGTGATTGTCAACCCTGCATACAGCCTGGAATCACTTAGGGACCTTTGAAACACCAACAGCAGCTAGTACTGATGCTTGGACTCTCCCCCAGAGAGGCTGACTTAGTTGGGGCTCAGGGTCAGTAGTTTTTTAAAGCTCCCCAAGTGATTCTAATGTGCAGTCAGGCTTGGGAACTGCTGAAATAGACTGATGAAAATCCAAGCTAGTTAAAGAAAGCATTTCTTAATAAAGCAGTGACTCCATAGCTATTTGACAAGAGGAAACATGAGGGAAAAAAATGAGGGAGAGAAGCTTTTAGTGAACAGTTTGTAGAGGTTTACCATCTATTATTCACCTCTGAAATACAGAAGCTCTGGAAAACAAGTTTCTCCGTACTTGGTGACAAAATCTAACCTACTCTGAACATATACAGTGGAAAATCCCGAGGCTTTTTCTAGTTTTCCATTGTCTCGTTTGGTATGAATAATTAGACATTTCACTGCAGCAATATATTCATGTGTCTGATTTCTGATGACGAGTTGCTGCCCCAGACCTCCCTGAGGATGTGACATAGATAGGATCCCTTTCTGAAATGGATAAAAGTTTGAATTCTGAACTACATCTAGCCCCAGGGGCTGCAGATCATAGTGGGGAAGGGTTGTGATAGGGAAGGCCAAGGTAATAATGCATCCTTCTTCCACTTACCCAGGCAGTGGATTAGCGCCCACATTAAATAAAAACAAGGGCCAGTATCAGAATGTGGCTCTTGGCTGTGCATGCGTACATGTCTTGAGTCTGATCTAAGGAGAGGGTTCATTTCAATCACAGAGAAACTAAGGTTAACCAATAACATGAGTAGATCAAATAGAAAAATAGTCATTTTCTTATAAAAGACTCCTCAGTAGAACAAACTACCTCAAACTTTGGTGGTTTGGAACTACACATTTATTATCTCAAACAGTTCCTGACTGTCAGGAATTCTGGAGCATCTCACAGCTGGATGGCTTTTGCTTGGGGTGTCTCAGGAAATTGTCAGAATGTTTTGGTCCTAGAACTTTGTGTTCAGTGCCAACCAGTTCCTTCCTAGAAAATTCTAGTTTCTGTTTCTGCAGCTGCTTAGAGTTTCAATTTTCAATATAAAAGTAATAATTATTGGCAGAGGAAGCCCTGAGTCCTTCTAATATTCTGTTCTGAAGATTCCTGCTGGGAGTAGCTTATTAGTAGCTTATTAGCCTTCTCTTGTCATTTTTCTCTCCCCTAGGTCCTTCCCACATTTTTCCTAAAGTTGTATATGCATCCACCTCCTGTGGGCCAATGAATGATTGTTAGTGATTGCTCTGGATAATACCGTAAAAAGACAAACAGGTCCCTGCCTCATTGGAGCTTCCATCCAGAAGACAGGAATTAGTCATTCATTTGAAAATGATTAAATACCTGGGTGCCTGGGTGGCTCAGTTGGTTAGGCGACTGCCTTCGGCTCAGGTCATGATCCTGGAGTCCCGGGATCGAGTCCCACATCGGGCTCCCTGCTCAGCGGGGAGTCTGCTTCTCCCTCTGACCCTCTTCCCTCTCGTGCTCTCTGTCTCTCATTCTCTCTCACTCAAATAAATAAAATCTTTAAAAAAAAAAGAAAATGATTAAATACTTGGCAGTGTGCTTTAAAAAAAAAGGTTCTGTGGAGATGCTATAGGAACATGTAATCAGATCTTAGCTAGTTTGTGTTTTTGCTTGATCAGCACTTTGTCCTTTGTGTTTTGTAGGAAGAATACCTACCCTTGGGGTTTTTGTCAAAAGCCTCCATCCTGGGGCAGAAACATGGAAGCTATTCCACACCCCACTCTGCATAACACACTCTGAAATCCTCCCTGACTGCAGACACTCAGGGGACTTTGTGTGGTTCTGTAGAGTAATCTCATTTACTTTAAAACTTTTTTTAATTTTTATTTATTTATTTATGTATTTATTATTTATTTATTTATTTGACAGAGAGAGAGAGACAGCGAGAGACAGAACACAAGCAGGGGGAGTGGGAGAGGGAGAAGCAGGCTTCCCGCCGAGCAGGGAGCCCGATATGGGGCTCGATCCCAGGACCCTGGGACCATGACCTGAGCCGAAGGCAGACGCTCAACGACTGAGCCACCCAGGCGCCCCCTAAAACTTTTTTTTTTTAAACTTAGGTTCCTTCAGCATTCACCTGTGAAGTTCTTGTCTCTCTCCTTGCCCTCTCTCCCCTCCTTCCAGCTCTGCCCAAATGTGGTAACCTTTCCTCACGCATCCCCTTCCTCCCTTTCTTGCCCCACCACATCTTTGAAGAGATGAGGTGTTACACAAAGTTGGGAATCTAATACCTTCCTTTTCTGAGCTCTTTGTATTTTGAGACATTTCTGATTAGAGAAAGAAAAACTGAAGATCTGCTGAAGAGAATTTCAGGTTTGGAAAACAGAGAAGGGTGAGGAAGACTGTTTTTGATCTTCTGTAAGCAGATGAAGGGATCTGTCTCCGACATCTTTTCCCATCTGTGCTTTCTTCCTGGCCCTGAGCCATGGTGGGATCTTCCCTGCGAGGTCAGAAAATCAGGAAGCCGTTGACAAGATCCCAGTGGATGTTTATAGTCTGCATCTTTGCCCCCAGCCCCAAGTATTTGTGATGCTATGAGGGAGGAAAATCCTGAATAGAGAGGCGGATACATTACAAATACATAAAGTATGCAATAAATGATGTTTTTAGTGTGTGGCTTTTGTTGTTATGTGACTACTCATACGAGTATTTGTAAAGGTTTTTCTGTGGTCATGTAACCCTTCTCTTTCCCATGGCCCTCTTTTTATCCCTAAGTTGTTCAACTGCAAATTTTCCTACCATGAGCATGTTCAGAGCTGAGACTCCCAGGGTTGAAGAGGGACTGAATGGCCTTCTCATTACTGTATAATTTTCCAGAGAGAGAGAGGCTGAAGGTATCAAAGAATGGGCTAAATGAAGAGTATGCCCTTTTGCATGGCATGCCTATTAGCCAGGCGGGGACAACACAGCAGTAAAGCGGTGGTGGGGGAAGCTGCCTTCCTCAGGGGCGATGATCGTGGCCGTTGTGAGGGCAGTCCGCAGCGGGGTCCCAGAGTCTAGCATATAGATCTACTTTCGCCTTCAAGTAAATGAATATAAATTAGATTAACTTCAATGGCAAGTCTTATGTAACCTTGAACTTGTGTATTCTCCCTTTAAAATGTCATTAGTGTAATAAGCTGCAGGACACTTCCAAACTCACCAGCACCTCCAAACACCTGAACACATTCGTACTTCTGTGCTTAAAAGACTGTCCTAGAGAGGAATGAGCTTGTTCATTTTGGAATTTTTATTGCTGCTGAACATAGATTTCCCAAAGATTATCTTCATGGTATCTTTTTTTTTTAAAATCTTATCTTTGAAAGTGACTATGATTATCTTATTTGTCTCTGTTTTATGGTCCTCTTTGGGAATGCTTTTAGGAAAGGATTTAGGCATTCAGATTTGGGGGAGGTGGGTGGAGAGAGAGAGCAAGCAAAGTGGGGTTGAAGGCACTTAGGATTTTAAAGGTCGTCTTGTCTGTTCCCATTTCACCTACCCTGTTAGTCGATGGCACTTGCTTTTCTGGGGCATATTTTCCAAAATGCTTGCCATAAACCTGTCAGACTTCAAATGAGCATTGATCGTGTTTGAGTAGAGACCCAATTACACCAGGACCACCTATTTAATTTTTCTAGAATTTCTAGATAAACTAGAATCTTTGAGGGATAAATAATATTTAGTATCTTTGCCAAGGTATCGTGCATGTTTCAATAATTGGTTATTTATGGTATTTCTATATGTTTTCCAGTTACAATTTTGAGACTCTTCCCATAATCGTATCAAAAATACCAATGTTTTACAGTGTATACATTCTGACAACTGTCTAATTTCTTTTGAAAGTAAGTCAATATGATTCTTCCAGATTTTTGGCCTAAAATTCCTATGCAGAGGTTTTTCCCTGATACTAAAAACAAACAAAACCCCAAAGCATGACAGCAAACTTAACTTTCATTGCAGTAACTCTTAATTTTGGTGCATACCTAAACACAAAGTACTGCTTTTGATAACCACATTTTTCTTATTCTAATTTGATTTTTCCCCCTAATATCTTACTAGGTGCAGAGAGAACTAGCAGCTGTTATTGCTTTGAAAGCAAGGAAATCTGGTGAGTAGTCTTTCCTGGGAGTGTATCTCAGGAAGTTTTGATGCAGAATGCAGAGAAGTATCACTGTTTGTTTTTAAAATTATCTATTCTGCCATTGAAATAGCACAGACTGTTATATATAGTTCCTTAAAATTTCACTGCTTTGCTTTATTTCATATTTCAAAGAAAAATGAAATTAATAATAAAAAATACATTTTTAGTCCATTGCAACCGTGAAGTCTAAGTACACAACCCAAGAAAGCAAACCACATAGCATTTACCTATCATAATGACAGAGGAAAATAACACAAAGATGGTCTTTGTTTAAGGGTATGTTTTTCATCTCAAAGGAGTTTCTTCTAAAAATAATTGTGTAATGACATTTTAAAAGCAAGCATTTTATGTAGGACTAATTGCGTGGATCTGATCCCTGATACCTGTAGGACACAATCTGGAAGCAATATGTGGAAAGGAAAAGGGAGCTTTCAGATACATTTTGAAGGAGAGAAAGCCATACTCTGGTGAAATTCAATATGAGATGGAGACTCACTGAGGTAGAAAAACACTTAGGAGGAGTGCGAGAGGGAGGCATCGTTTGCTGTTCAGAGGGAAGAGGTCAATGCTGAATAGAATGACAAACTGAAGGAAGGTGCTACTTGGATCATGGTAAATTGGAATAAGATTTTTCAGGCAGAAAGACTATGATAAAATCAAACACATGACAAAAACTGAAGAACTAAATGGAACAGAAATGTCTTGAAAACACAAACCATGCATTTTACATCTTTCTTTTTCCACTTAGAAACTCTAAGAGTTTGCTTTTCCCTCAGTTACTTTTTGAATCAAACACACATTAGTGTGAATTAGCTTATCATATGTGATCTCTTGTCTTTGTTGATTTGGCTGGGAGAGGACACAGAGATTGCGTGCTGTAAAGGTAGAGAGGAGGAGGGAAAGAACAGCCATCCTGACCCCCAGGGTAGTGAACAGAGCGGGCAGCCGTAAATAGGGCTCTTCAGTTCCAGCCTCGGATCATGGCTGTTTGCATAGGTGGAGGCCTGATGGAGAAAGGACATCAGTATGAAAGTTTTGGGAGAGAGGGCCTAGAAATAAATTGTGCTAGAGCTGCTCTTCATTCCTGTAATCCTAAGGAGACAAAACTTAAAGTCCGTATGAGTTGGAATGGCAGTGCCGTAGAGGGTAGGGTTTTGTTTTTGTTTTTTTTAAGTTTTAGAAAAAAGGGAGAAAAACAGAGCAAATAAATACAGATAGGGAGGCTGGAGAAGAGGGTTACTAATTCACACAGGGTGAGATGGAAGGGACTCTGGTAGGGGACATTTGAATAAAGACCTGAAGTCAGTGAAGGGGTGAGCCCTGTGGATATCCAAACAATAGCATTTGGGCAGAGGTGTGCAAAATGTGCTTGAGGAACAGCAAAGAGGTATGAGTAACTAGAGCCAAGTGAACAGGGCAAAAAGAGGTGGATTTGGGATGTCAGGCTAAGAAGTTCGAACTTTCTGGAGGTGAAGAGAAGTAAAACCCACACATGTTAGAGCATGCAAAATAAAAGATTGTGTGGGGGGAGTTAATTTTATTAAACCTTGATGTGACTGCATGAAGTTATATCTGTCTTCCTTACTCATTTGATCTGTGGAGCTTGAAGTGTGAACACAACTTTGGAGGCTATTCAGGACAGAGTGAAATGGTCTCTCACATGTACACTAATGGTGGGGACGTAAAATCATAGTTTTACAGAAAAGCAGTGTTTCAGTGTGTTCTAGAAGGCCTAACTCTATGATCCAGTAGCTCCATGACTGGAGGTCATGATCAGAGATGCATGTGAAGATTCAGGTAGAAGGAATCTATTGCGATTTTTTTTTTTTTTTACAATAAGAAATTAGAGGGGCGCTTGGGTGGCTCAGTTCGTTAAGCGTCTGCCTTCGGCTCGGATCATGATCCCAGGGTCCTGGGATCGAGCCCTGCATCGAGCCCCACATCAGGCTCCCTGCTTGGCGGGAAGCCTGCTTCTCCCTCTCCCACTCCCCCTGTTTGTGTTCCCTCTCCCGCTGTCTCTCTCTCTGTCAAATAAATAAATAAAATCTTTAAAAAAAAACAATAAGAAATTAGAAACAATCATTAAGTCCTTGTAGTAGAGAAATAATAAAATTGATCAATGTAATGGAATGTTTAAATAGCTTTAAAATGATATTTTAAAGAATTAATATAGTAAAATGTTCAGTGGAAAAAAGTATATACAGTTAGCATATAGTTTTTCATAATAAAAATAATTTTAATGTTCTTTTTCTTACTATTACAGTGTAGTGTGTGCAATGAAAAAAATTTTGATAGTATGTGAATGTATGAAGAAAGTGAAAAATCACCCATCATCTCACCAACAGAGATAACCACTGTTACTTTTCTTGTATTTGTTTCCAGATGTTTCCCTTTTAATATGTAGGTACTATAATATATTAATATGCAGATTTGATAAAAATGGGATCATTTTATCTGCACTCTTTTGAGGTAATTACATATTCATATGCAGGTGTAAGAAATAATACAGAGATCCCATGTTTTCTTTTCCCAGTTTCGCCTAACAGTAACATTTTGCAAAACTATGGGACAGTTTCACAACCAGGATATTGACAGTGATAAAGAATACTTCCAACACCACAAGGATTCATCTCGTTGCTCTTTAATAACTACACTGAATTTCTTCCTGTCCGTATGCCTTCCATAACCCTTGGCAGTTACTACTCTGTTCTCTATTTCTATAATTTTTGTCACTTCAAAAATACGAAATAAATGGAATCATACAGTATATATAACTTTTTGGGAGTAGCTCTTTTCACTTGCTGTAATTCTCTGGAGATTCATTCAGGTTGTTGGACATCAATAGTTATGTTTTATTGGTGAATAATATTCCATCATATGAATGTATGACAGTATGTTTACCACTCACCCATTGAAGGACGTCTGGATTGCTTACAGTTTTGGGCTATTATGACTTAACCTACATCTGCGAATGTTTATGTACAGGTTTTTGTGTGAACCTAAGTCTTCATTCCTCTGGAATAAATGCCCACAAGTATGATTGCTGGGTTGTTAGGTAGTTGCATGCTTAGTTTTTTAAGAAACTACCAAACTGTTTTGCAGACTGGCTATACCATTTTAAATTCTCACTAGCAATATGTAAGTGATCCAGCTTCTCTGCATCTTTGTCAGCATTTGGTATCATCACTGTTTTTTATTTTAGCCATTCCAATAGGCATGAAGTGATATCTTTAATGATATTGATCGCCTTAGGTTGCCTATTTGCCACCTGAATGTCATCTTTGGTGAAAATGTCTCTTTTGTCTTTTGCCCTTTTTGTAGTTGAATTATTGGTTTACTGTTGAGTTTTAAGAGTTCTTTACATATTGTAGATACCAGTCCTTTGTTGGATATGTGGTTGGCAAATATTTTCTCCCAGTCTGCTTGTCCTTTCATTTTCTTATCAAAGTCCTTCACAGAGCAAAAGTTTTTAATTTGGGAAAAAATAATTTTTTAATGGATCATGCCTTTGGGTATGTCTAAGAGCTCTTTGTCTAGTGCTAGATCCCAAAGATTTCCCTTGTCTTTTTTTTTCCCTTGAAAGTTTTATAGTTTTATGTTTTAAATTTGAATCCATGATTTAGTTTGAGTTAGTTTTTGTGTAAGGTGTAAGACTTAGGTCAAGGGTTTTTTTGGTTGTTTTTTCTGTTTTTATTGATGGGTTTTTTGGCTTATGAATGTCCAGTTGCCCCAGCACCTTTGTTGAAGAGACCATCATTCTTTCATTGAATTGCTTTTATACCTTTGTCAAAAATAAGTTGGACATATTTTTGTGGGTCTAGGTTCTCTGTTATTCTCAATTGAACAGATTGTGTTGGTATGCACCAGTTTTGATTACTGTAGCTATATATAATCCACTTTTTTTTTTTAAAGATTTTATTTATTTATTTGACAGAGAGAGATAGCGAGAGCAGGAACACAAGCAGGGGGAGTGGGAGAGGGAGAAGCAGGGCTTCCCGCCAAGCAGGGAGCCCGACGCAGGGCTCGATCCCAGGACCCTGGGATCATGACCTGAGCTGAAGGCAGACGCCTAACCATCTGAGCCACCCAGGTGCCCCTATAATCCACTTTTTATAGGATTTATTTTCATGTCAATAATGTAGATCTGCATCATTAATTTTATTAACTATATATACTGTACACTTTATTTAATTCTTGTACCTTTATTTAACTAAATCTTGTTCATTCTTGTGCAACAACTAATTGCACATTTAGGTTTTTAATATTTTTCCTATTATAAATAATAATAGAAGGACCTAAAGATATATTCTTGTGCTTGTGTTATTTTGTCCTTTTCCAATTATTTTCTCATAATAAATTATTAAAATTGGAATAGCTAGGTTGATAACTAGGTGTAGACAGTGTTAAAGTTTTGTTTTTTACAGTTAGGACTTTAAGTCATCTGGAATTTGGTTTTGTATGTGGTGTCAGGTGGAAATCAAATTTTATGTTTTCCTTATCTAAGCCAGTTACCCCAGGAGCATTCATTGGACATGATGCTAACACCATCACACATGAAATTCATATATATTATTTCAATTACCTACCAGAGCTTTATAATAAAACTTTTTCTAGGGTGGGGATAAGGCAAATCTCTTCTTAGCTTTCTTATTCTCCTCATAGTTTTGTTTTGTCAGGTTTCGTGAAATCTCCTTTGGAATTTTTTAAAGTATATTGCACTTACAGATCATTAGATAAGTTTGACACTTTGGAAATAAATGTTTCCATCCTTGAACCTAGGATATCTTATTTTTTCAAATTTTTAGTGCTGCTGTGGAAATTTCTCCATAAAGGCCTTGCACATTTTGTTTGTATTTTTAGTTACCTTGTGATGTGGGTTACTATTGTAAATGAACTATCTTTCTCTTCTCTCTCTTTCTTTTTTAGTTCTCTTCTGTGATGGTTTCTCAAGTCTTTATCTTTCATGA